ATTTAAGTTTAGTAGGGTTCGTCTACTATTTATAATTTTATATACTTTTATCTTTAGTGAACGCATTTTTTTCTCCTTTGGAATATTTTCATTAATTGTTTTACTTCTTATAAAATATCCATGTCTATTTTTCCCCCAACAAATTATTTTTTTTCTGTTCTAAGGCTGGCAGGACAGTCATTTTAATTTCCTTGGTTTCTTCTTCCAAATTAAGAGTATAATTGCCACCTACATGAAGAAATTGCGAGACAATGCCTCGTCCAACCAAAGTGCCGATTTTTTTTTCAATATAATGTTTAATTGGCCGAGCCCCATACTCAAGCGAGTAAGCCTCATCCAGAATTTTTTCCACCACTTCCTCGCTATATCGCAATTTAATATTTTTCTCCAACGCGATTCGCTGGATAAACAGTTGTAATTCTTTGCTAGTGATTTCTCTAATAACTTTTCTACTTAAAAAATTAAAGAAAATTATTTCATCAAGCCGATTGAGAAATTCCGGACGAAAATGATTTTTTAATTCAAAGTTTAATTCCTCTTTTATTTCGGTCATTTCCTTATTTTCAAAATATAATTCTGAACCTAAATTAGTTGTCAAAATGATAATCGTGTTGCGAAAGTTGACTTCCCGACCATTAGCCAAAGTCAAAAATCCATTATCTAGTATCTGTAAAAGAATGTTAATAACCTCAGGGTGGGCTTTTTCTATTTCGTCAAAAAGTATGACGCTATGCATTTTTTCCCGCACAATTTCTAGGCGGGGGCGTTCTTCGAAGCCAATGTAACCTGGAGGAGAACCAATTAATTTACTAATTGAATGCGGCTCGGTAAATTCGGTCATATCCAAGCGAATAAGATTTTTTTTTTGGTCGAAAAGTTGCTCGGCAATTGTCAAAGCCACTTCGGTCTTTCCTACTCCGGTTGATCCCACAAAAAGAAAAGATGCTAAGGGGCGATTGGGATCCTGAACTCCTGCACGGGATCGAAAAATGGCCTCGCTAATGGCTCGCAAAGCCTGGCCTTGTCCTTTCACTCTTTGCTGGAGAATAGCCGGCAAGAAAAGTAATTTTTGCTGCTCGCTGGCAAGAATTTTGCCAATCGGCAAATCATATTTCTGTGCGATGGTTAACGCAATGTCCTCGCGATTGATAAAATATTTTCTTAATATATTATGGCGAGCGCGGGTTTCCAATTCATTGACTTTGGCTTGGTTGGCCGGAATAGTAGAGTATTTTAACTCGGCCGCCTTGGTGAGGTCAATTTCTTTTTGCTGATAAATAACCAATTCTCTTTCGGCTTGGGCTAATTCTTTTTTGGCTCGGTTTAATTCCTGAATTATTTGGTTTTCTTGGTGGTCTAGTTCCAACAATTCGCTCAACTTCGCTCGCTGTTTTTTAATTTCCTGCTCAAGATTAAAGACTTCGGTTTCCTGGTCTTTTTCCTTTTTTAAAGCGGCCTTTTTAATTTCTAGTTCTCTCAATTTTAGTCTAGTTTTCTCAATCATTTCTGGTTCATACCACATTTCGCTGCGAACCCGTCCACAAGTTTCATCCAATAAATCAATTGCTTTGTCCGGCAAA